AAAGAAATTAACGCGCAACCAAAATGATTTTTTTTTTTTTTTTTTTTTTTGAGTGCCCAATAGCTCCCCTTCAAATTACTCAGGTGATAAATGCAAATGCAGTTAGACAAGCTGGATTCTGGTGATGTTCTCTTGTACTTAAATGGAATAGTAAAGCTTTGCTATCTTTAAGTATTAAAATGTGAAAATTAAGCAGACAAATTTCAGGAATAATGTAAAAACTCAGTAAGTACAACCAAAAGTAAGTGCGTTGTAGCTGTCAATTTCATACCCTTTCCAAGCTTATTCATTTTACCACAGCTTATAGCAGAAGGAGTTAGGACTTCACTGTGTTTTCTAGTCAAACAGACCAAAGACAGTTAAAAACTTAAGTACATGTGTACACAGAAAAAATGATAAACTGATCGGCCAGATGAGGAACAAGAAAAATTAATCACTTCCAGCACGCGGGCAAAAACACTGCTTGGCCGCACCTACATACCATTTTGAGGAAATAAATTGGGACCATTCCTTTTCTAACAAAAGTTTATCATATAGCTAGTCAGTTACTACCACATATGGCAAAATGAAAATCATTGCCTTTACAGTTGAGCTGTATACAATCAACACAGCCAGGCAGCCCTAAGAAAGCTTTTATTAAGAGCAGAGTTTGGCAGCCTGTCATCAACTACAAAGGGAATTCTTCGTGAAATCTTTAAAGTGTGCCTAAATTCAACATTTCAGTATTTTTTTTTAGGACTTAAAGGCTTGGTTCATGGATATTTAAAAAGAGATTAGATTATTTTCTGCAATAAGGACAGCAGACAAATCCACTGCTACCAGACAGCAGAGACATCCAAGTCAAAGTTCTACAGGAAGGGTAGCTCACAACTGTGGAATGAAAATCACTAATATTAATTAAAATCTACAATAACTTTCAAATACATACATACCTCTGCTTGCTAGCAAAAATGCAGTGCAACAAACACGCATTTAAAACAGCACGAGGCTGGCAAGGAAAGAATGAACCACATTTTGCAGATTTGGTATGTTTAATGTACTTCTGAAACATACTCAGATACTACAAGGATGAGGGTGTATATATCTAAACAAATATACAGGAGATAGCCAAAAGGCCTGAATGACACAGCCTTTTCCTTTGAAAAACTGAACAGACCTCTTGGATCTAGCTCAAGTTATATTTATAACATGTTCGCCTTACAGCTTTACAGTTTAGAATTACCAACTCACACCAGTACTTTCTCAATCCCCATAAAAAATGCCATGTACAAGGACAGAAAAGTTGAGACAAAAGTAATCTAATATTTAGACACCTTACTAGACACCTATGTAAACCGCATTTTCAACTTAATGCAGTATACCAAAGCAGAGAGCTTAAGTAGTTGCTATACGCAAATACTAGTTTACACCTAGCGAAAAAACAGCAATTTTCCCAAATGTTGATGTTTAGGAATAGTGTGCTAAGTAAAACCAGTTGCAGGGGTTTTTTTTGAAGAATGAGTGCTGTAATGTGATACATACATCAAGTAGGGGAAAGAGTATTTCAGACCTTAAACCTACCTCAGTATTGCATTACAAACTATAGTGTGGCATGTATCTCAAGTTGAGCAAAAAAGGGCAACATTAAAGACAGTCTAGAGGAAAATGCTTAGTAGTCACAGATGTCACAAGTGAGGACCTACACGTGGTAACTCCTGAATTGTATGAAAACAATCTCTATCTTAAGCCATATAACACTGGCAATTTAAACACTGTACTTCCAAAATGCCAGCAATGCCGCAATTTTCCTGTTACCCATTTGCTCACAATTCAATTCACCAAGACCATCACTGCTATATTAAGTAACACACACACACACTTTCTCTGCTGCTTGCATCCCATGCTTTGAGCTACATACGTACCATTGATATAATTAGGGCACCATGTTATCTCAAATCAGTTTTTAATCAATTTAGTGTCACTATTCATGCAGATAAATTTTAGTAATTTCTATTTCTGAAAATGTGAGTGAACTGATAAAAACAGAACACTAATATTTTACAACTATTTTGCACAGGAGAAAAGCAACAGTAACCAAAAATATCCCTACTTTCTTGCCATTACAGGAATAGAACCAATAGGTCTTTTCCATCATCTTCCATGACTGACAAAATCTGAATCATAATAAACTTCCTAATAGCTTTATCATCACTTTTATCTTGACTCAATCAGCAAATCTAGCCTGAGTTGTGTTGGAAATGGGTATTTTTCAAATTCATCATTCTGTAAAACATTTATCAAGAATACTCATGTGCAATCCTCCTAAATGCATATAAGTGAACAATTATTTTAACTGGAAAACATGTATTTGCCTCCTAATTAAACAGTTAATCATTGATAACAGACTTGTTTCTATTCAAAACCACCACTGGGGGAAAAGTATACTTATAATGATGCATTACACAGTGGAAGGCCTTAAACCAGCTTGCTCAAATGTTTCCTTCCTTGCAGTGGCAAGATACTTTAACGATCAGTAGAACACAGATGTCACAACAATTTTTTTCTGTAGAAGTATGGTTTAGGTAAATTCATTCATACTGTTATGAATAAAGCATACATACAGATTCCTTTTCCAAAGTTTGTTTTTTCCCCCCAAGTTAAATTTTCCCCAAAATAATCTGAGTAATGGATATACTCTTTTGATAAGCCTATCGTGACTAAGTTTGCAATGGGAGACTGAGATGCAAGGATACAGTATCCTTGAGAACACTTTGTATAAAATTTGATGCTCTTCAAAAGTCGAAACAAAGGCAGTTGTGTTATAAATTGTTCATCGTATGTACTGCAACATGCAGTTTAGCTGAACAGATTCACTATTAAGAATGGAACTTTCTTGACACATAGTAGAAACTACATAAGAATAAAAATGATGCCACTTAATGAAGCATAAAATTATTCTCACCCAGTATTAGTAATAACATTCCCAAAATCCTTTCAAGTGATTTTTATATTTTATTGTAATCAGATAACTGCACGTTTTACAGCATAGTCACACATTGTATTTTGCTAGTCACAAACACATTGCCTTACATAATGATCCGCATCATTTCTGCTCTATACTACAAAGCCTATGACTGAATACAAAAAAAGTTTTACAAAAGAAACTGTTTTAAAGACTACAATAACAATAAAACCGTTTCCAGATAACAGCTAAAATTATAAAGGCATATCACTGTATAGTTTTACTGGAATTTCTAAACAGTAAGGAATGAAATAAGTTTTAGTATCTGCGACGCTTGTTAGGTCCTTCAAAGTTGCCCCCTGGGTTTCCTCTACCAAAGCCACCAGGTCCACCACTCACGGCACCTACACCACTCATTGGCGGCTGAGGAGTTTCAGAGCCCGTTCTACTAACCAGAGGTGAACCCATCTGTGATGGACCTCCTTGAGGGAATCTCTCATTATGCTAATACAAGTCCATTTGGAACATGCCAAATGTGAGTTACAACAAAAACCACAAGTGATGTTGTCATGAAGTTCAGCAGATAGTCCAGCAGAATCAGGATCACACATAGAGGGAAGAAAGGAGCAATTCAATTAGTTATTATGGAAAAAGAGCTGGAAATTAAAGAGTGCTAATGTTATGCTCCAACTTTGTAAAGTAAATTAAAAATTAAAAACTTAAGTATTAAGACCAACTCCGGTGCTGAATGTAACTTCATCCTTTCAAGCACATCTGAAGCAATACATATCTCTATGTAACAGAAGAGACAGCAAACAATAATTTTATACCTGAGCCCTATTCTGCCTTACATACCAACTACAATGCCTCTCCCTTAAATAAATTAGACACAGAAACATTTTCAAACTAGGGGAAAAAAAATATTTCTAGAGACTGCAGGTTTATTCTTTTAATAGCAATATAACCTGAAGACTTATATACCCACATATCTGTGGATAAAGTGTATTTCTGTCTATACTACCTGGAGTCAGCCTTTTGTACGGCACTTCAGGAAGCTTTAGTTAGATTTAAAATCCAGTCCAAATAAACTGACACAACTAGTGATAAAATGCGTAACTGGACTATGCTTAGTTTAAAAAAAACCTTGATATATAGATCTAAAGCTTAACCTGAAATATCAATATAAGATGAAAATCCAGTTAATGTTCCACATTTATTTTCCTTAGTTCTGTGCCTAATATTAATAAAGGTATATGTGCTTACACAGATTTATTTGGCTATAGCAATTAAGACCTAAAACAGAAAACACACATCTGAGCACTTATAGTTCAGTATTTATGCAAGTGTTTAAAAATAGAACCCCACATGATGAAATTTAAAACATTAACTCAACATAACATAAACCATGAAAAGCATAGATATATGGTACAATCAGATCTTGAAGTAACTCATCATTCACCTGTTGAGGACAGTTATGCTTTCAGAAGAAATTCCTTCTGTACAGAGATCTACATTAACTACCCAGGTATTCAAAGTTCAACAAGAACATTCAAGACTAGCATTTTATTTATATGCCTGAATCAGAGAAGAATTCTTCTGAAAGTCTAACTCCAGTAATAGTAGTAGAGCTCAACAGTTCTAGAGTCTGCTAATTCATATATATATTATTTAAAAACAGCATTATATCTATATAGATAAAATTTTATGCAACTTCGATCATGGTTGTATATATGTGCATTGTTTAAAATTTAACATTTAACATTGAATAAGAAAAAAGTTACTTCAACAGCTCCATAAAGATCTACTACTGCCCCAAAGTACCTAAAAATCTGCAGCACTGGTAAAGAATTTTTAAAAAATTATCTTTAACTCATGCCAGCTTGTTAGCAATGGATATGAATTTCAATAAATAGCTTATCACATACTCATGATAATTTTTACCATTTGACTTTTGGACAAAAAGTCAAGTCCTCTTTCCAACAAGGACCCCTCTCTCCAGCTAATGAGAAAAGTGCAGTAATTACCTATCTATAATAAAGTACAGGGGGAAAAAAGCTGTTTTTAAAATGTTATGTTCAAAGATAATCTATGTTTCAAAAGACTGCAGTGGAACAAAAAGAAGATTGCTCCAACTTTCCCCTAAAAGACTTCAGAAAAACATCCAATTTAAAAAAATGAAAACTGCATTTCTGGTCTATAAAGCATATTCTCCATTTCACTCAGTGGAAACTGAAATTAACTCTTACAGTGTTTTAGTAGACAGCCCTCTCAAAGGATCTTTAAAGTGTCTTTCCAACAGCAGCAAAAATACAATAAGGCTATGCCTTTCTGTAGGGGCCTGTCCCCCACAAAAGTCCAAAATGGAGGGCGGGGGGAGAGCATCTAATTTGTCTTTCAGTAGCATGCAGAAGAAAGTGGAAGTAAAAAAAAAAAAATTTTTTTAAAACATGCATTTTGAAGTGTCAGTATGTTCCCTACATTTCCATACCTGGAATGACTTTTTGTAGAAAAACAACAGTCAGAGATAAATACCGTGATTTACGATACCATGTTCTTTTCCTTACACCTCTTTTTCAGTGTCCATATAATCACAAGAGAATGTTCCAGAGGTGACCAGTAACACACTGGTCTCCAGAAAAAGCATCTCTGAAAACAGTGTTTTGTGAAAAGCATCCCTACGCTTTGTGAGAAATGATACAACTGATAAAATGAGCTGGCTCCTATGATGTGAAGCGAGATCCTCTCCTTTAACTGGCAAAGGCCAGACTCATTATGTATTTTGTGCTCAATCAAAATCTCATTTTCCTCTACGGAACAAACGATTTTGTCCAAACTTCATTATACAGATTGCTCAATCGCAGATGGATACTGTTGAGAAGGCATATATAAAAAAATACATATAGAACTATATACAGAACTATAATGGAATCACTGTTTATACTATATACACCTTTATATCGCACCATCACTAGAACATCCCAAATATCTATTTACAGAATAATACTGAAAAATATGTGTAAATCAGATTAAAAATTATATAGTTGTTTCTCTACATAAGACATTACAGCTAGGAAAAGTGACTGGCTATGAGAACAGAGCAAAAATGGCTAGTGCTTTAACTGCATCACAATGGCATATCCGCTCTCGATAAAAAATTCCAGATGTATACAAGACATTCCCTACCACCCTTGGCAACTGGGCAATGCTATTTTCCCTGTGTTGATATGACAGTTGTTGGCATACTTATTTTTTAAGTGGCATAATTACTGTCAATCTCATGCTTTCAACACTGTTAGAAAGGAAATACAAAAAACACTGAAGTCGCTTTTAAAAAATTAAAGTTTACACAAAGATATCTTCACACTACATAGCTTCCAACATTTAACTGTTCACCAAAAAACCCAACAAGCTAATACACAGAATTTAGTTTCACAAAAGAAAAAACAGCAAATGCCTAAATTTACAGATTACTCTGGTATGTTGTTCCTTCTTAATTTCACAGAAGTGATTTCCTTCTATCAGTGAGTTTTTCATGACAGGTCATACATGCGAAGTTTTGCCACGAGTGCTGTATTTTCTAACCTCAATTTAAAGTCTGGTTACTGATCAAAGAACTCACCCCATTCTTAAGGGAAGTAGGATTTTCATAGTAATATCAAATAAAGATTTCCCTTCTGTGTTGTAAATTATTTGCATGAACAAGTTTTATCAATTACTTTTAACAGAGTCAAAACATGTAACAAGTTCTTGCTCAGTGTGAAAACATCTTTGGTAACAAGAATGGGCCATGAGACATGACAGCTATTCAAAGTAATTAAATTTGTGATACATTACCACTGTTCCATTATCTGGCATCATTGGTGTTCCCATATTTGCAGCTCCTTCTGGTCCCATGGAAGGACCAGGACCCATTGCAGGGCCAGGTAAAGTTCCTCTGTTGTTCATATTCATACCCATCATTGGAGGAGGGCCTTGGTTACCAGCAGGTGCTGGGCTAAACGCATCTATGCAAAACAATCTATACTTAGAGCTGTCCTATCTGAATTTTACAAGAATAAACAAACAATTTACAGTATTTAAAAAGCCAAATGTACAAGACTTCCAATACTTGAAATAAAAAAAAATTATTCTTTGAGACTGTACATTTATCTCAATCATCTGCTTTTAAACAGATTTTCATTAATCCCTATTATTTTGCATTACATAATCTGCCTCATGTATTTGAAAATCCTGAACGTTACAGCTAAATATAGCTGTACAGTTTCTGGGCAGGAATTGAAGTGTTCGTATAGCATATATATGCAGTATACACACCACAAATTAGCAAAAATCTCAAGTGATTTTGCAGTAATTAGCAGCTATAAGGCAACTTGGCTCTTTAGGGATCATAACTTATTAAATATACATTTGCAAGAACTGTTCGTATTATGTTAACTGTATACAGTGTTACAGTGTATTAGTCTAACGTCTAAAAGCAACACCAAAGATGGTACTCAACTTTACAATAAATTATTTGTAATATGGCATAAATCAATCTTGCATTTAAAATTTATTATAGTAAAAGTACCAGAAAACTAAGGGAGGTTTTGTTAGAATTGAAAGTGACAGAACAGTCTCCTCCAAAATTCTGATTCACAGTAAGAGATAGAAGAAAAGTTTAAAGACACCTTTGGAGGAGATCATTTAGCTACAATATTGAGCTAGGAAACACCATTCTGCCAGTACCCATTAACATACTTAACAGGTAGGTAAAACTGCCTTCATAACATTTTCTCATGTTGTTATAAGAAAGAAAAAAGTTATTATATTTACATCTGCTATTATGAAATATCATCAACTTTAAGACTGGTGGTGCTGCCAGTACCCATTAACATACTTAACAGGTAGGTAAAACTGCCTTCATAACATTTTCTCATGTTGTTATAAGAAAGAAAAAAGTTATTATATTTACATCTGCTATTATGAAATATCATCAACTTTAAGACTGGTGGTGATGCGTTTTTTTCCCCCACAATGATAATCCACCCTTTTCAGCCAAGTGTGCATCCAAAGTTTGATAACAGAAGAAGACATGCCTTTGGAATCTAGCCTATGTTTAAAGTCATGACAACATACAAGAATATCAAGAAATCTGACACGTTGCTAGACTAATAAACTTGTTATTTCAAAAATCAACCTCTCACCTCTCATCACAACTGTAACATCTTTAGTAATGAATATATAAATGTACATCATTGTAAGCAGACCATTTAGCACAGATACAGTACTATGACTATCTGCAGGTATGCAAACTTGCATCTTTATTACCTGCCCTGAGTACACATATCACAGCAGTCAGTGAAACCACCGCATCCAAGATACTGCTGCTAAAATTGCAGACCTGGGCTTGATCATATATATTATGCCACCTGCAAGCTGCTTAGCAAAAGCAACCCATGCAACACAGTAGCACGTGTAAAGTGCTACACAAGTTTATTAGAAGCAATAGAGAAAAATCTTGTAATTTTGAAAAGCGGAACTCATTTGAGCTTAGTAATGAGAAACTCCCAAGACCTCTCCCTATGACACTGGGCCAAAACAAAGGTATGTGCAAGTCAGATGCCTCTTACCTACCCACAAGCACAATCAGTTCATGTAGCAGGTAGAAGACTGTGCTACAATTCACGAGAATTAGTTGAATATGCCCTAAAACTGTTTTTTAGTGTCATCTATTCAGTGACTAAATATGGAAGGAAATGGAGAAGTCTAAACTGCCAATATAAGAAGAAACCTTTATTTTCAGAGGCTGGAAGTACTCTGCAGGACTGTCATGATGGCAGTGCTTAGTGCTGGTACTAGTGCCATTAACTAAAAGCAGTCAATGCTCAATTTTACTGGCTTGCTTACCAGCCTAAACAAACTTAGCCAGCTGGCCACACTCAGGTAGCATTTGCTTATCCTTCAACTGCAACGAAGTTCTTATCCTCTGTATCATGCCAATGCACCCATACTGCTTCAAGGGTGACATATAGTGACCTATACTATCAAACCTCTGTATTACTAAGCCAGTTTCAGGCAGAGTCAGCTCTGATAGGAGGACAACTGGGGAGTGTAATGCAAGGAGAGAGTGGGGCCCTGCACAGTTTCAGCAAGAGGCCACTATGGCATTTTAGCTATACCTCAGAGGTCCTCCTAGCTCCAAAGCAGACCCTAAGAGCTAACCACTTGATTGCCCGTTCTTTTTGGTGGGACACTGATGTCAACAGTTAATTCACCGGACCAGGTTCAGCAACAGATGGAGAGCAGCCATCAGTGTTCGTGCCACAATGCACAGACACTAAAAAAAAAATGAAGGGGCTGAAAAAGCACACTAAGTGTCCAAACTGCACACGCCAAGTTCTGGCAGAGCTGGCAACAAGCCACAATCAATAATCCTCATCAATGCAGAGACAGTTCCCAAAAAAGCCTTTTTTGTCCCCCCATATTGAAAAGTTTATCAGCTGCACCTAGCATTACAGATCCAGTTAAGTGCTATGGTGAGGCATATAGATTCTCTCAGAACTTTGCCGCAGAAAACAATGTAAAAATGAGTGGTCCTGCACAAGTTAGCCCAACACTAATTAAATGTGTCACAGAGGTACCTTGCTTTCTAATAACGCTATCATGCAGGTATTTCCATTACTGAAGATACTCCAGCTCCTCACTGTCCCACATGATGAAAAGTCTCAAATGGCACAGGTAAAGGCCAGTTAAAAATAAAGTTACAATTCCAACAGAAGTGTTGAGAAAGGATGCTAAAATCAACGATTAAAGGTCTGCTATTTAAAGGTCTACTACAGGTTTTGGGAGATCGGGTTTATTTGGTTGTAGTGGTGGGGTTGTTAATGGGCTTGAGAAAAAAAAAAAATCTCTACAGTGAGCTAACCTAAAATCCAGATACTGTGGAAACAAACACTATCTTCACCCTATTCACTACGGATATTTTTCCCTTTTAAAAATACTAGTTCACTGTTACTGTAACTTATTTTGGAACTACACATTTATTTCTAAAAGCATTTGTATCAAGTTTAAAATCAAAAGTTATAGCACAAAGCTTACAAAGCAAGACTACGATGAACATCATTGTTAAGCATTAAAACCTGACAAGAAAAGGGCTGTGAACTGACTGCTATAAACACACATTTAAAATTTGTACGTAAAAAGTGTATCTTGTGGATCTGGACAACTGGCATTAGTAGTTTCCACAGTATCAATATGTACAAAGTCTTCTAATTAAATGAAGTTTTCAAGTAGACTGCAATAATATGCAAAAGTACAACTATAAAATAAAAAAAAATTTAATCACAATTTATGCTTCAGCTTATTATTTGTAAATGACTTCACAATGTCTTCCTTTAGAATTATTTTTAAAGCTCTTCATCTTCACAGAAAGAAAAAGCCTATTTCTATTTTGCAGCTATAAATGCGTCTCAATTAATAAATGCAAAGAAATGGTGAATAATGTATTTTAAAATTTGGACCAGCAGATTCTTAAAATTTGGACCAGCATATTCATTACTCTATAAATTCTCATTACTCAAAAGGTCAAGCGACAATGTTTAGTAGGTTTTGTATGTACTTTCAAATTTAAAATATGCAAAAATAGTATTAATATTTTGTAAAACTATCATCTTAATTTATTTTAAATGAACATCCGGAAGCTTCCAAGAGATATATATTGACAGTTAATACAGTTTAGTAAGATTTTTTTTTTTAAAGAAATATTCTAAGTTTCAGTCTTGTTTAAAAGCAGATATTCTGGTTAAGTAAGATTACAAACTGTTTCAGTCTGCATATATGGTGCAAGCACTAATTATTAAGAATGTACTTTTCTAGACTTCACAGGAACAGTTTTTAGCAGTGACAATATTTTAAGTCACAAAAGTGAACCAAGAATATTTACATATACAGACTTGCAATAAATTAGTAGAACACCAACCACATTATTCATTAATCTTTTGTCAGGCGTCAACAAGAACAATGAATATTTACAAATACAGACTTGCAATAAATTAGTAGAACACCAACCACATTATTCATTAATCTTTTGTCAGGTACGTCAACAAGAACTTACCAATTTTAAGCTCTATATCATTTCACTGCATGCAATTACAGTCCCAACTTCTCTGAATAGATAGTCCCTCAAAAAGAATGCCAAATACCTTCTGAACAGAAAATTCCTCTTTTGTATCAGATAATTTCTAGAGCATCACCTTTCCCTGCCTTTTCATTTCTCTTAACTTGCACATCATACTTTTCTCCCACAGGTAGTCAAAACAATAAAATAAAGACACACGTTGGGGAAAAAAACCCAGCTGTTTGGAAGCAAAATACGTAAGATTTTTTTATTTCCTAATACTGTTTACTCCTTTTTACCAGTAGTTGTCACTAATTAATAGTGCTTGAGTAACATGTACAGTCCCAAAGAAAAAGAAATTTTACATTACAGAAGCCTTTTTCCTTCAGATCCCTACCTCCCATGTTTATTGCTCCACGAGGACCCATATCACCCATTCTCATTTCCTGTTCTCTCTGAAAGTAAACATAGTTTTCATGGTCAACCTATCATTCTTAGAACTTAAAACATTCCCATTTACTCAATGAAAATAAAAATTTTCAAGTTTCAAAAGTTTCCATTGATTACAAAAATGTACAAGGAATAAAGTTAACTATACTCCCGTTTTTATAAAATCAAATGGAATAAGTTCAATATAACAATGCTGTATATTTTTGCATAATGCTAAAGGTTAAATATCTTAAGTTTAATTTATCAGATGCAGCAGTCTAAAGTTCCCAAACAGTTATGTGATCAACTGCAAATGAATCCATCTTCAGTGTTTTTCATTAATAAGCAGCAGTATATTTACATTTTAACTGTAAATAAAGAGGTCTTATGACACTATTGCCTAAAGGCCGTGGTTCAATAATACAGTCAATCTGGATTCACAACTCAAAAATGCTTGTGTTGACTGGAAACCAAGCTCTGATGTGTTATATTATGGTATATGAACTCAATCTGCCAGTTCATTTTTGTTCAAATAGTTTTGACTTAACTTGGGGGTGGTACATTTTTTGATAAATTATATCATGCTATTACCATGTCAGTTCAGATACTGACCATCCTTTTGAAATGAGCATAAAAATGTAGTATCAACATGAACTATATAACATGCATTTATACTAAATAGACAAATAACATGCCAAATTGATCCAGATTCAATTGATGCTCAGTCGTCCAACAGCAAAAGAGTCCTGACATTACTGATCATGAACCACAGCCTGCTGTGAAACAATACTCAAGCAACAGTACCCAGAGTGGCAAAAATCATCACTTAGGGGAAAACACAGTACAGCTATCACAGATAATTCCAAGGGATTTTAGTATTACTGTTTACATCAAAAGGATGAAATAGAAACAAATTCACAGTTCAAAATGAAAACTAATGAAACTTACTACAAAAATTTCTCATGAATTTTCTGCAAGAATGTTAATGTATATTCCACTCTTGAGTGAACACACTGAGAACAAGCATATGCAAAAACATTTACCTGATTCTGAAAATCATTCCACTTATGATTTAAGAGCGTAAGTTCAGATGCACAATTCCATATACTAGGCAACTGAATCAGTCTTGCTAAAAGCAACCTTTAAACTGAAATATTAATCAAATCAAAATACATTCATAGTATTTTTATGGTTTCACAAAACTCCTTTTCGTTCAATCATGTTTGGGATGCCAAACATGAGTCTTCTATCTTCACACACTTAAAGCAGCAGACACCAATATTTGACAGAACAGAGTCAATAGTTTTGTAAAAATATCCCAGTATGGGAAATATCATGCGGTACGTGACAAAAGGCTGTCAGGTCCATATCTTTGTTTCTAGTAACTCATATTAACCTAGAAAATGAACTTAACATAAGACCATTATACACTATTTTCAAAAGAATATGGCTTAGTGTGGAGAGGAAAAGTAAGGCGTTGTAACTAAAAGACAAGGCAGTTTTAAGGTCCAGCTATGAAAGGCCCTTGATAAACACTAAGCATGACCTCTTCTTCTGACCCTAGAACCCACGTTAAACCTTTGTAACAGAACATGCAACTACTTTGTCAGACCTTTCACAGTACTGTCAACTGACGTTTTAAGTAAAATCAGCAACCCTATTAGGATCAATCATACCCACAAAATGATACCAATGAGTTAGTCACAAAATCAGCATACAACCTTGTTGATATTAGTCTGCTTTTTACACCTCAGCCCTGACATGAAGAAGCGGAAGGAAAAGTGTTGTATCATCCCTAATGTCAATCCCTAGCCCAACACGGTAGAAAAACACCATGGCTATCAGTTTACATCAATCAGACTATGCATGCACACATGACTGAGTATGTGTATGTGTGAAAGCAGGACAAGCCAAACAGCTGTGAGATGCTCTTTAGCTACAAGGGAAAGTACCAGATTTTTAATTACTGCACATACTTACTTGATGCATCTCAGGTTCAACTGCAAGCTGGTGTTTGTTTGGGTTTTTTTAATGTGAAGTGTGCCATATAAGGCAGGGCTGAGTACAATAGCAGCTAGATAAGGATGTTAATTACAGAGTTATAAAGCTGTACTAGTTACTAGAACTTAACTCATTTTCTTTGCAATGGATAGAAGCATTGGCAAGCTAAAACATACACTTTTTTTAAAAAGCATACTACACTTTCTCCTAGCAATAAGCCACTTTTTTCTCAGCTTGAAATGCTACCAGTCTTCAGTTAACAATAAGTACAACAAAAGAGAGGGGTAGAACCTATGATTTTTATGTTTTCTTAGTCTAGTCTAACCTTTGTAACAAAAACATGAAGTTATTATTTGCCATTTTTGAGCTTTAACTTTGGTGTTGAATTATTACCATATAAAAAACATTTCAGCTATAGACTCAAGATCCATAAATGTGCCTTATGATCTCTGCTGCCTGTTAATCTATCAACATGTACAAGAATTTTGTAACAAAAACATGAAGTTATTATTTGCCATTTTGTAGCTTTAACTTTGGTGTTGAATTATTACCATATAAAAAACATTTCAGCTATAGACTCAAGATCCATAAATGTGCCTTATGATCTCTGCTGCCTGTTAATCTATCAACATGCCTACAAGAATTATTATTATTCCTACTGTTGCGTGTTCACAACTTATCATGTTCTTTTGAATTTTCAGCACAGGGAAATTCTTCTATATGGTTAACACAGAATTAGCAAATTTAAGATAAATCCCCTGTCAGAGAAAATACTCAATTTCAAATTTTAACTGACAGCATATATCATTAATGTAATTAAATGTTTGACATATTAACTATGAAAACATGTACTTAGATAATTTGCCAAAACCTGTATTTGCAGAAGTCCAGATGATAAAAATTCAGTCCTATCCCACACAAATCATGTCCTAGACAGCTATTTACTATGTGAGCATAAACAAGTTATTGCAGGTAAGCTAGGTCAACTATTCCATGGGTTTTGCCCAAAATAAGAGACAAAGGAATACCAACAGGCAGTTATGACAGAGTAGCTGAACCAGTGCTGGTTGATATGCCAGCCCACCCAAGAGCTTCGTTCTTCAATACTCAAGCCCTTTGCAGAACACAACAATGATAGCGTTATCTTCTCAGAGCTTCTTTTCCTCACTATGTGACTGCCCATTCTTCTGTTGAGTAGCAGCCTGCTTCAGCCCCTTCCCTGAAGCCACCCATAACTACCCACAACAGGGAGTTAAAATTGAGCAGCAAGCAAGAAGGGCTAAACTTTTACTAGAAAAATATGTAGGGAGGCGATTAAGAACCTCTGAAGTCACCCGGTACCTGGGAAAACAACTTAAACTGGAAGAGAATGATAAAAATGGATGATATGCAATTATAGGGGGAAAAGAAACCATAAGAGAAAGAACATGTAGTAAAGTGTAATTTAAGCTTTGGGACGATTTAAAAAAAACAAAACAAAAACAAAAAACAAAGGGAAGCAAACAAAGAATAATATCCTATTGCAAAAGGATAATTCTTTACACAACTCAAAAGAATGCTTTCCAAATGACTTCCGTTGCAGGATTCTTGTAAAATACTTCAGAACTCACTAATGCAAAAAAACCTCAAGAAGGTCTGATCATCTGAGTAATTTGCTTTTAGAAAAACTGCTATGATGGCAACTATAGCATTATACTTGCTTACTACTTTAGACACAAGCATTAAAAATGAGATTTCCACACAATTCCAACTCCTTTTAATATCAACTGTAAAAACTAGATCTACACAAAATATTGAATACCCCTAGTTTTCAAATTACATATATATTGTACATTTAATATACTATGGATTCTCCCCTTTTTACAAGTATTAGAAACAAGATTTCTTGAGCATTTGAGGTTTATCATGCGCAACGTTCTTACACCTCAATCGCTATTGATACCAGTAGTCTAAGTATACAGAGAACTGCCAAGATGATTCTTCTGTTTTTTTAAAATATATATTTTTAAATTTACTCTATAAAACAATGAAACTAACTGTTTTGAAAAGACACCTAAGAATTGATACAGGAGAATGTATCGGATGCAATTCCCTTTTCACACTGAAAATAAAAACACAAGTAGTTATAAAACTGGGGTTTTTTAACTGACAAACCAATACTACTTTTCTTCCCTGGAAACAGACCTTGCAATTGCAGCAGCCCAAAGAAAATTAAAGATCTTGTCTCCGAATGATGCAGTATTCATGGTAGCAAAACTGTCAAAAAATTGAATTAAATATGGCATGGAATATTTTAGAAAAGCAAAAAGCAAGATATCAACAGAAATATTAAGACGACAGATCATACAGTTTTCTTCAAGTGTTTGCAGCCAGGAGATGAACTCCCAGTTAATGCAGGACTCTTCACTCACCTTTCAGCTAAGGAATGGTGACCAAAATCACACTAAGACACAGCATCAAAAAAATGCCTTAACAAAAAAACAAACAAACAAACAAACAACACTTACCCCATAAACTTAAACTTGCACATTAAAATCAGTAACTTAATTAGCACTTTATCTAGGTTGTGTGTGTAGAGCAAAATGTAATTCACAGTGCTGTTGATTCTCACCTGTTTTCATTAACACGGAAACTGTATTCTATTCTCTAGCAGACTTTATATTTGTCAAAATAGGTAGGATGTTTCTGTACCTTTTACTAGAATTCATTAGTCCCTTCTAGAGTGGTTTATTTCATTAAGTTTTGTCTAGAAAAGAAAAATTATTTCCGAAGGCCTCTCCAGGAGGCATAAGTCCTTTAAACCTTACACAAAATCGTAATTTACTGAAAGACGCTTATATTTTAAAGACATAAATCATACAAGTAGTTAACATTACTAGTTTGGCAGTCAAAACTAGAATTTGGGGGATACTTTGGGTTGTGCATTGTCTTTTCCTCAGAATATTCTACTATTTCAATCCAATGACTAGCTCCCTGGAAGTTAACTCCTCCTGCCAGCAAGGAGTTAAAGTAATAAAAGCCTTCT